TATGGATTGATGCACCGAGCCCTTCATAGAATGATCTGGACTGCCACTGGTATTGGGAACCATAGGAATTCTGTGGCAATTTTGGATTCTGTTTGAATTTGCCAAGCATACTGTAGGTGATGTCAGACACAGTGTGGTGTAAGGGCAAAAATGAAGGTGCAATATGATGTGCCACATTGACATCTGGTGATGCAAGCATGACCTGAAATGGCCTGATTGCAAATCCCCTTCCCACTCTGTTCTCTTGGTTAAGGTATCCTAGCCCAACACACCTTTTATCAAGGGGTCCAGGCAGAGTTTCTGATTATTATTCCTTTGTAGTGGGTTTCAATTTCATTCCTACCCACAGTTTTTCAAACAAGCCAATTGCATCCTCCCAAAGGAATCAGGGACCATCACAGTCTCCTCATCCTACACAGCTTGCATCCAGCACTCCCTGGTTGCTCACTGATATCCATAGTGCAGCCTCCATGTACTCCTGTGTGGGAAGTGGTGTCCCGTGTCTCTCAGGCTGTCAGTATATTTGATTAACGAGCTGATGATGATGATATCTTTCCAATGTCAGGAGCCATGTGTTTTGCATCACTGTAACTCAGGGTGAGAATACTACCCTTATCAGTAGAAGGAAAAGTAGGGGATGCCAGAGAGAGGCTAATGATGGGGGTCAATTAGGTGGGAATGGCCATGGACATGTGTCTGTGGTGTCCAAGAATGGCTGTTTCATGCATGTAGAGATGGAGTATGTCTGATGGCCCTAGGGCACTGCATTGGGATGATGTGACTTTCTCTGTGCCACAGAAATTGCTGGTAAAGAGAGTGTGGATCTCTTTATGTCAGGGCTACAGGTTAGATACTTGTTTGTGCACCTGTCTGTTGTCGCTGATGGTCGTACACTGTGATAAGTGGGCCCCCGAGGACAGAGTGTCAGCAATGGGAAAGTTTCTCCTCTAAATTGGGTATTCTGGGAGGAGGTTGGGGAAGGGTAGGTATGTGGGGGAAATGGATTGTGTTTCCTAAGCAGGGGCTGTTTGTGGTTTCATATGTCCCCATCATAACAGAACAGTGTGACCTTTGAAGACGTGTCTGTGAAGTTTTCCTGGGAGGAATGGAGTCTTCTTAATGAGGCTCAGAGATGCCTGTATCGTGACGTGATGCTGGAGAACTTGACACTTATAACGTTCCTGGGTAAGGCCCTTACACTTATCCCTGTCACCTGAGGTAGTCTCTGCCCTTCTCCTTTTTCCTCATTGGCAAGACTTTCTCACTTCAGGAGTGTCGACACAACTTCTTTTTTTCACTTCTCTAGGTATGTTCTATGGTTGTTAGGACTGGGTGTGGGTTGTGCCATTTCCTCTCGTAGAGCCGCCCCAACACCTGCTTTCCTGCAGACTCCCAGGGAAGGATTCAGGGTCAGGGTCTTGCAGTTACCCTAATACATCTGATGTTGCTTGTCTTCTGGATGTCTGGGTGACTGCAGATCAAAGCCTCCTGTCTGTCCCAGATTCTCGTTCCCTCCTTTATCTACATTTGTTCGTGTCTGCCTGTGCTA